TGAAAGATATCGCCCAAATTTTGCGAGTTAACGCACCATTTATTTTTGTATAGGAAAAACATATGATACCAACATAACTATTTAGAACATTCATGGGAGTCAGGAACACTATCTCATTGAAGTATGCTTTCAAAATAACCTTGCTTCAATTAGGACTTTTGAAGGTTGTAATGTGGTCTGGTTCATGGTTTTTTAGAAAAAAAAAGATTTAAGGCTCAAAATATTTGGTGCCCACCCCCTTCATGATGTTCTCCAATCCTATGTTCAGTTAATTCAACATGAGTGTTCATCTCTCAAAAGGATTTTGTGACGGTCAAGGAAACGACGAGGCTTTCGGAGTAGAAACCACCCTCATGTCTTCGTGTTTGTAGTCACCAATTTGTTATTTGCTGAGGACTTTTCTTTGTAGTCCTTTTCTTTGCAATTTTTATTTTCCCTAACTTTTGCCTGAACTAATTGTTTTGAATTGATAGTCCAGCGGGATGCCTTAATTTTGCCTAAGTCACACGTTTTCATGTTTTTTGACTTAGCAGGCTTTTTCTTTTTCTCGATTTTTGACTTTTTGAACAAAATGTGTGACATTAGCTTGTCTTTGCTTGTTGAGAGGACTGTGATTGCCTCGTTTCTTGATGAATGAGGGATAACATTGTGGTTCCACATCCTCTAGATTCATTATACATGAAGGATAACCCTCGTAATTTCTCTTCAAAAAACATCTTCCTTATGAATTTTGAACACTCAGTCAGATTAACTAAAAACTACCCTGCCCCAGGTTAAAATTCAAGGTTTTTTTTTTATAGAAAAGAAACTTCTGCTTCAAAGGCTCAAAAGGGGTTAGCAAGGGATTATCTTCCTTATATCTCCAGTGTTTAGGGATTTGAAACAATGCCTGTACATCATCAGCAAGATTTTATTCAAAAGCAAACAACCAGAGATTTTGTGTTCTTTAGATCATCATCCTCCCTTCAATCTCTGCCTAGGCAAGAGAATGGGCAACAAGTTGGTATCATAATGCAAAAAGAAATTTAAAATTTGAAGACAAACATACCCATTGTATTAAGATAATCATTCAGATGCAAACAAGCTCTTACATGCAAACAATGTTTTGATAAACAAGAAAAATTACAAAAAAGCATGAATAAGTTAATGATCGGAGAAGGCTTTCCATCTGGACTTGAATTACCGAAAACATCCTTCAAAAACTCAAAGTGACCACCAATCGTGTTTACTCTTCGGCACGTTCTTGATTTGAACTCCAAAACCAACGTCATTGAATGACAAGATACCACTTCTGACCAACTTCTGAACCTCAATCTTCAAAGCAAAGCAACCCTCCAAGCCATGCCCAGGAGCACCTTGACGAAAAGTACAAGCCAAATTGGCTTTGTAGTACCAATGTATCTTCTCAGAAACCTTCGGTGGAGGTCGGGTCTGAACCAAATTCCTCTGCATCAGGATAGGGAACAACTCTGTATAGGTAATTGGAATTGGATCAAACCGGGTTTTCCTCTGATTAAGAACTTGCTGATTCTGTTGATGAATAGGAGAAACATGATGATTCTGACAATGATTATTTCTTCCTCTGGTTCTCTTCTTGGAAAAGTTATTATCAAACTTCCTCACACCATTAGCTGAGCTACCATCTTCATATGAACATCCCTTCCCAACATCTTCTTCTAGACGCACTCCCACATTCACCTTGTCAGGAAAGTCATTAGGTGCATTAACCATCACCTTCTCATGAGAGAATGATTTTAGAGTTCCAGTGGAGACTTTTAACATCGCTTCTTTCCTCCTAGAAGGATTGACTTGGGAGGCAACCAAAATTTCAACCAAACCAGTTAAGTGCTCCGTACTAGCTTTCAAATTAGTCACCTGTCTGCGGAGTTCAGAAATCTCTTGCTTGATATTCTCCATTGTTTTCTTAGCGCGAGTGTTGTACTGGTGAGACCAAAGGAAAAATAAGACTCGGAAAAAGACCTTTGAAAGTGAAACAAAAAATTTAGAATGATGTATGATATGCAAAAGAGAGTTTTTATTTGATTTTCAAGGAACTCAAGATATTAAGTTGTAAACATCAAAGTATGAAGATAGAAGATGAATTTTAAATTGACTCCAAACATTGATCAAGTTATCATCAAGATCAATCATCCATTTTGGTGGATTAGGGTTTTCGCCCTATCAACACCCAAGATCCATTGAGCTTGACGAAACTTGTGATGTTTACAAAGAAAGACCTCCAAATTCCTTCAAAGTCAAGTGAAAAGGGTTTTATGGATGCATGAATGCATGGCTATGCAACAACCACAAGCAAGGTCACAAATAAAGTCGAAAGGTTCAACGTCACGAGCATGGAGTCAAGGTAAGGAACACCCCCAAGGTATGTACTAACGGTTTAATCACACCTGTAGAACAAGGTTCTAAGAGTTCCCGGAGTCTACATTCCTCCTTCGGATATTACCAACGTCTTGATTACTCAATAATCAGCAATATTCTCAAGAGAAACTCATCCGAGTGTAGCATCGCGTAACAATTACTTCCGGATTACTCCGTTATAATCTCCGCGCTACACCTAAAAGGCCAAGATGGGTTAGGGTTCTACGGTTCCCAGCTTCTCTGGCTCCCAGGTCGAAAATAATAATGTCTTCCCGATTACTCGGTAAACAAATATTACGTTCAAAAGGGCCTTCCACTGAGTGGGGGATCTCATGCCTCCTTCTTCAGGATTACTCCCTCAAAGTTAACATGACTATACCGCCCGTCCTATTCCTAAGTGTAACTTAGTCCGGGTATAGGACTTGTCTTTTGTAAATATTATCAACACCCAAATAATCACAATATATACATATAATCAAACAATCAAATAATGATAAAACAGGTAAAACAAATTAGGCTTAACCCACTTAGGGATGGACCAGCAAGAGGTCAATCTTTCCCCAGCAGAGTCGCCAATTCTGTAGCGGTGAAAATCGGAGATCAAGCTATTAGTTAACTTGACTCGCAAAAGCAAGAGTCGCCAATTCTGTAGCGGTGAAAATCGGAGATCAAGCTATTAGTTAACTTGACTCGCAAAAGCAAGAGTCGCCACCGCGCTTTATTATTTCCAAGGGAAAAGGGAAAAGAGCGAAATAAAACCCTAAAAATATGCAATGTATAATAATACTTAAAAGTAATGAAAATACAATGCATTTTGAAAAGAGATCGAGAGTTCGGGGGTTGGTTATACAATGGGAAGGTATTAGCACCCAATGCATCTGCGGTACTCCGCAGGAACCTTTTGAAATATCTGTTTTTGGTTTAAAATTGTTTGTTTGATTAAAATGGTTCGTTTGGCTAAAAATCGGTGTTGGAGAGATTTTGAAGATGCGACGACCTAGTGTCGAAGTTTTGACTTAAAAGGTGTGAGTTTAAAAATTGAATCTTTTGGGAAAGTTATCTTAAGTTTGGGAAAATAGTAAATAAGCAAAAAATGGATGAAGGTGTTCGCGCAATCGTATGAGATATGTTCGATGACATGAAGTCAACAAATTTAATTCTTTCCCTTGGAGTTAAAACCACAGACAGATAAATAAGCTAAGAGTATATCAAACCTCAGGTGAAAATAAATCACAAGCCGACAGCATCAAAAAACCTGATGTAAGATAATACTCCAAGCATCAGATAAAGCGCAAAGGGGATGGATAAAGCTCACGGTATCAGATAAGAATCCCTGCATCACAAGATATATATCGACAAATCTAACAGCACAGGGAAACTTATGTGCGTCCGCACAATTTTCAGAAGTTAGTTGGAATTGGATATAAAATCACAATGCGATGAAAATAATATTTTCAAAACCTGAATTTATTTACAAGTTAAGTGAATAAAATATATAGACAAAAATATTATGAACAAATATATATTTACAATACCAAATATTAAATAAAAATAGTAAGGTAAAAAGGGAATAAAGAAAAATTATAAATGCGCTATGCGAGAACGAACGCTTGAAACTGTTCTCGAAAACCTTCACAGTAAGCAAACTTGTTAGTAGCATAAGCGGTATACAAATTAAAATGAAACGAAATTGTAACAAAATTTGAATTTATGTTAGTAATCACAAATTAAATAATTGAAATGAAATTGTATGAATGGACATGAATATTTACGCAAATAAGAACCAAGATGAATTGAATCAAAAGTCACAAATTTAACACAAAACAACACACATTTGAACAAACTATCAAGAAGAGGAAAGTTCACAAGAAATAATTCTAAACAAAAATTATTAAAAAATAAATACTACAAAAATTAAAACAAAGAAAGATTAACTATTAATTTGAAGTTATTTAAAAAATGATTAACTACTAAAACTTTACCAAAATCTACTATACTATTTAATTGATATTGTTTTGTTTTGTTTTTTTTTAAATTAAGCAAAACAGTATAATCAACATTAATAAAGCAAATATAACTAGAATTATAAAACAAACAAAAGAATGTAAAAGAAAATGAGGGTGAAATAAATTAATTAAAAAAAACTTAAAGTAAAAAAAGAAAGAGATGACAATTTTCTCTTCTCTGTGTGACAGTAACCAAACTTTTTCACTATCACCACTACATGTTCTTCATTTCAATAAACAACAAAGTTTCAATTTCACACTCAATAATCATTATCACCTCAAACTAATTTTTAACAACTTCAACAACAATCACCATTAATCAAACATGAATTAACAACAATGTCACGCAGAAAATTTCTCATTACCGCAATTATACGAACAAATGAATTAGTAATCAAAAGCTTACCGAAAGTTAATCCCGATGAGCTAGCCGAAGTTGCAGGGCTTAATAAATTAAAGAGACAAAGATAAATAAAGTTCCTATTTCCCACCTCAAGCTCAAGGCAGCTTCTTTTCAAGTTTATTGCGCACACCTGCATATGAAAAATTACTACCTGTTAGCAACATAAGAATAAAATATGTGCTATCACCCAACAGCCAGAGTATTACTAAAGCAAACTAGACTTTGCTTATGTCCTTCAAAGAACATATCTGCTCTTCTCCCATTGCAGACATGACAGAAACAATAAAATCTTTTCCTTCAGCAAATCCATCTTTAATCTGAGTAAGGAGTGCATCATCAGTGAGAAGTTTCAAATCATCCTTAGTACTTCCATTATCAGTCAACAGACTCACAAAACCATCTTCAGAAATATCAATCAGCTGATGGTCAGTACGGTTCACATGAGGAACATCACAATTGTGAGATGAAGGAACAACATCTTCAAGCTTTTCCCATTGAAAATATCAATGGCAACAAAGTGACACTTTGCATGTCCATGCTTTTCTGTCTTTGAAGTAGAAACTTCAACAACCTTGCATGGCCTGGCCTTGATGACGATGTACCCGTTCTTGTGAATGGTACCGGCCTGTTGAGGATAGGTTTTGGAGGCTCCGGCGTCGGCGGCGGCGTCGAATTGGTGCTCTTCGTCGGACATGGTGGATGATTTCTCTTTTCTTCTGTGTGGGAGTGAAACGCTGGAGGAGTTGAGGAAGAAGTGTAGCTGAGATGTTGTGTTGTTGAAGTCGATGGTGGATGGTGAGATCGTGCGACGGAGGTGAAGTTCCGTGACCGGAAGTGGGTTTCGGTGGTTGATGATAGCAGAGGAGAGGAACAGTTGGGCAGAAGCTCGAAGGGAGTATGGTGGTGATAATGATGGATCGGCGGAGATGATGAAGGTTGGTGTTGAGACGGAGGCTAGGCGGTGAAGGGCGATGATGATGGTGATGAAGCGATGTCTGAAGGTTAGGTTGCAGTAGATGGATGATGATGAGCAGAAGGGGGTTGTGAGTACACTGAGGGGAGCAAGGTGGTGTTGACGGAAAGTTGAACTGAAACTACTTCACCAGATGTACTATGGATTTTCAACCGATCAATTTGTAATATACATAAAAGAGCTTCAGCTGTATGACCCAGATGACACCAGCACACCTTAACAATAGAGGATTCCATAGTAAATCTCTTAAATACTCTTGCATCAATCGACCATATAATCCGTTTTCCTCGAATAAAAAGCTCGTGATCACCACGATTATTCAAAGCAGAAGCAACCTCGTCGCAATGATCTTCATCATCTCGATCTCGAGCGATTTCTGGATCGAAGAGGAAGTACTCGTAGTTTTCGGTTACAGTTTCAGCGGATTTACCGTCAAGAGCTTCTGCAATGAGTCCAAATGGCTTGAACTCGCCAAGCAGTGTTTAAGCGACGCACACCTATAGACATTATTGAAGCTTGTGGAAATTTTGCTTGGTTTGAGCTTAGTGGTGACGAAAATGAAAGAGATGAGTTAGATGAAAATGAAGTGTGTTGATGAGTTGTAATTGAAGGGTGGAAAATTTATGAGAGGAATTGGTTGGGGTTGAAGATGAAGTGGGTATGTGTGGAGGGGGGTTTGATGGAGTTGGAAGAGAGTAGTAGCGAGGTCACGAGTTTTGTGTTGCTATGCCATCTTGTTGTTGTTTTGTCATGTGAGAGGAATAGAAAGTGGAAAGAGGAATAGAAAGTGAGCTAGCTACTGTAAGTTGCTTTTTTTTGTTGTGTGATGTGTCCCCCCTTACAAAGTGATAAAAGAGGTTACTTAAATAAGAAAATGATGAGGAGTATATGCTTTCAAAATTAAATCATGACCGTTCAATATTATTCAATCTCTATCAATCCGCAAACCATGCTTTCGACCAATGAGAATTCAATCTCTATCAATCCGTAAACTATGCTATCGACCAATGAGAATTAAGCGAAGCCTAATTAATATTTTTTTGTGACCGAAAACGATAAAAAAAACGGACGAAAGTTTATCCGAAAAAATAAAATGAACACGTTAAAATAATCTACATGTCACAAAGATTAAAGAAAAAATATTCAAGAAGTCAAAAATAAAATGATAAAATATCAGGCTAATACGGACATTTACGGTTAAAAACGAGACTTCAAACTATACCGAAAAAATAAAGCGAGCATACCGTCATAATCTACGCGTCATGCAGATTCATAAAATGATCGGTAATAGGTGAAAACTTGAAATATTTTTCTCGCTATCTTTTCGCACAATATTGAATCGCTTTTAACGGTCTGTCTATAAAACCAAAATATTTTTATTATCGACATATAAACAAAATGCAAGAAGCGAGTAAAGAGATAAAAATGCATGAAGTGAAATGTCGGGTATTTTACAACTGAAAGACGATGCAAACTTTGATTTAAACTGACTTTTTCTGGTCAACTTAAATACGACTAATGATGCAAAATGTGATGAATGAAGATATTTACTAATGATTGTGACAAAATGACAAAATATGGTATGAATGTGCGACTGGAAAAATTAGGGGCGAAATAAAGGGTGCAACAGTGTGCCTTGATGAATCAGTCTTCGAGAATCCACAATCAACCGTACTTCTGGCTTGGGAGACTCAAAACCTTAATTGAGGCGCGACACCTGATGCTCTTGATTCATACCTGTCTCTGCACATGAAACAAAAGAAAACATGAACATACACCTTTGTATGCGATTAGAAATTAGTGATACATAGGCTAAAAATGTTCAAAACACTTGACAATCCTCACATAGTCAAAGCTCGAAGGTGAGAGGTTAAAACCGACCGTATTTAGTGACCTTGACTTTTGTATAAAAAATGCAAAAATGCAAGTGGGATCTTAGGTCAAAAATTGGGGTACAACACATAACTGGCAGTAACAGAGTCGTTATCAATGGGATCCATAGTGGATATGGATCTGCATTATGATATGTGAGTGTATGTAAGACAATAGCTGTTTCGATAAAGTGCAAGATAGAAAAGAAAAACAAGGAGCGCAATTTTTGTATTGCAAGAAAAACGTCCAATGCTTTATTGATGATATATGAAAATGACAAATAATAAGCCCTCACAAACAAAGCCAATGTGCCTCGGGAAAGGCACCGGGCCGTAAACTTTCAAACTGTCTGTTACAAATCTCAAAACAAAAGTCTATTACTGTGTAATAAAAGAATCGGGCACGAAGTCCTTTACCGTCCAGTTGTTCAAGCTACCGTTGGTAGTCGGGTAAATCAAGCTGTCAATATCTAACTCTTCTTCATCATCTTCAATTGCATTCACTCCCAGATTACTGATGTGCAGAGGAGGTCTTCCAATCCATGCACGTCGAACAACCCTTTGAGCCTCTGCAGTAAAGCCCAAACCAAACTTGTCAGTTTTGTGTGTGAAGTTAGGGAGTTGACCCCAATTTGCACACCCACCTTGATTAATAACAGCCCTGGCATCTTTGAGGGAAGCCATCTTCATCGGAGGTTTGTCAGCAGCAACTTCAGTCGACGCAAAAGTCTGGGGAACCTCTTCAAAGTTCTGACATGGTGTTTCGATGAACTCTCCATCCATTTCAACATACCGGAAGGATTAAGATGACTCACCATGTACTCCTCCTCACCTTGTACCACAACAATCTTCCCTTTTACTGGATATTTCAACATCTGATGGCGTGTAGAAGTCACTGCCCCAGCCTTATGAATCCAAGGGCGACCCAACAAGCAAGAATAAGATGGTCGGATATCCATCACATAGAAAGTAGATGAAAAAGTCTGAGAGCCAACTTTAACAGGGACATCCACCTCCCCATGCACCATCCTTTTCGACCCATCGAAAGCCCTAACCACAATATTACTTGGTTTCAGAATCAAACCTTCATAGTCCAGATGGTCTAATGCCTTCTTTGGTAAAACATTCAATGAGGACCCAGTATCCACCAGTACATGGGCCAGAGTAGTGCCCCTGCACTCGATCGATACGTGCAGAGCATCATTGTGATTTCTACCTTTAGCAGTCAGATCTGCGTCTGAGAAACCCAAACCGTTGTCGGCAGTCAAACTAGCTACACAGTCTTTCAATTGATCAGCAGAAGTCTCCTGCGGCACATGCGTAGTTTTGAGGAAAGCAATTAAAGCCTTTGCATGGGCTTCAGAACACAATAACAAGGATAGCATGGAGATTTTTGACGGGGTCTGCCCCAACTGCTCGACTATGTTGTAGTCGCTTTTCTTGATAATCTTCAGAATTTCCTCTATCTCCTGCTTAGAGGTTACTACAATAATATTCTTAGGCGCCTCCATCCGGGCAGGCTCACTTGTGGTTTCTTTTCCCCGAGTCTCAGATGACTTGGCGACAGGGGTGGTAACTGGAGTAAGAATTGGAGCAGTAGCTGATGTACTGGCAGATGAAATGGCAACAGGCTTTTGAACAGTCGGAGGTGAAATCTCAAGAGAGAAGAGTCTTCCACTTCTGGTGACTTTACTAGACCCGACAATATTGCTGATATCAGCATCAACTTCTTCAATCTTTAAGTCTTGCTTAACTCCATTGTAATACACGTCGGCCTCATAGTGCCAAGGGACAGCTTTATCCAAACTATATGGGATAGGACCAGGTATAGTAATGATTAACGGAGCGACTCTTGGAACAGATGTAATCCTAACAGGCTTTCATGAGGAAGCCTTGGAAGGATTGGCGGAAATGGTTATGATGGCAACATCTTCAACTGGAATTAATGGAGTCAAAGTCTTCTCGAACAGGATCTCTTTGTTATCCATCAATTGTTGAACACCTGATTTCAATAAATGGCAACCAACAGATAGAATTGAACAAAGGTGGCAACCTTCGCCACAACCCGGAAATAAGCCGGCCAATAAAAGATTCTTCTTCACTGTCATCAAAGGAGTAGAGATGTCCTCCACAGAGGTCACAAACAAATCATCGTCCACAACATTTACTCCATGACCATGCTTGGGCATATGAGCAATTATGACATTGGGTTTCTCTGGAGCGTCAAACTCGATCTCTTTAGCTTCAATCAAATTTTGAACTTTATTCCTCAAAGCCCAGCAGTTATTCGTATCATGACCCAGGCTATCGGAGTGATAGGCACAGCGGGCGTTTGAATTATATAGCGGAGATGTGGTGCTGGGATTCTTTGGGGCTTCCCTCAGAGTTGCCAGATTGGTTTTCAACAATTGTGGTAGAATTTGAGACAAAGTCATATTAAGCCCAGTGTACTGTCTTTGCGGCCTCTCCATTCTTTGCTGATTGTTGCATTGCGGGGCAACGATGGGTCTTGATATTACTACCGCATTCACTGCTTGACGGCGTTCAGGTTGGTTTTGGCTCCTCGAGCTGTAAAATGCACTAGCTTCTTTCTTACCAGTGAAAGGCTTCTTTACTGTACTGGATGAAGCATCCTTCTGTATCTTACCACTTTCGATACCAGCTTCCACTCTCTCCCCAGTCAGAATCAATTCAGTAAACCCAGATGACGAAATGCCGATCAGATGATTGAAAAACAGACCAGATAATGTCCCTAGAAACATATCAACCAACTCCCTGTCAGACAGAGGGGGTTGGACTCTTCCAGCCAGATCTCTCCACTTCTGAGCATAGTCCTTAAAGCCTTCGCTTGCACCCATAGACATACCCTGAAGCTGAGTACGAGTGGGAGCACGGTCGGTGTTATACTGGTATTGCTTGTAGAAAGCAGCAGCAAGGTCCTCCCAGTTGCGGACATTAGCTCATTCCAATTGATAAAACCATTCAAGCTGAGTCCCTGACAGACTATCTTGAAAGAAATGCACCCACAAATTTCTGTCAACAGTGTAAGGTTGAATTTTTCTGTCGTATGAGCGGAGGTGGAGTTTTGGACAGGATACTCCATCGTACTTAGCAAAAACTGGAGCTTTGAACTTATGAGGGATCGCCACCCCCGATGCTATTCCCAAATCTCCGAAGTCCAACCCAGGAACCTTCTGAATCTCCATAGCACTTAGACGGTCCTTAAGTTGTTTGTACCTATCCTCAGCAGAAGGGTACTGTTCATCATCAAAGTCAACATCTTTATCAGAGACCATAAGACTAGGACCCTTTTCTTCTTCTTGATACTCTCCTCCTTTGGATGAAAGAGACAGATCAACTTCCTGTTGCAACCTATTCCCAAATTTGTGACCCAAATTCAAAAGAACCACCTTCTTCTTTTTCTTCTTCTTCTCTTTCAGGATGAGAGTCTTCAAATCTTCTTGCCCTTTAGCCAAGTTCAAGAACATCTCCTGGAATTGGGCATTCTGTGCCTGAAGAGCTTTGATGGCTTGATCGGTAGGCATTTCAGAAGACATTTTGTGCTGAAATAAACAACGAAGAAGATGAGAAACCTGTAATGGTACCTGTAATGATGTGCATGATAATCGAATGCGT